TTTTATAAGATGTTGAATTTCTTTTTTAAATCTTTTGAATAATTTTTTTTGAATGATAATAAGTACAAATTATAAACAAAAAAAAATTTAATTGGATCAACTGTGGGTTACCCGTGACCCATGATAAGCGAGTTAGAATCTACCTTCATTGACCCATGACCTATAACCCATTTTAATACAACTCGTTTTGATCCAATCCTAATCCGACCCAACCCACCCATTTAGTGGGTCTAGGAGTTTACTTTCGCTTTAGCTTTTTTTTTCAATGAATTAAAGATGAAAGTGATGGAGTGATATTGCAATTAAACAACTTAGAAAAGAAAATAGAGAGTACAATTGGTTGGTGGAAAATAACTACATGTTAGAATATATTTTTCTATGAAAAATTATTTTTTTAAAAGAAATTATTCTCTTTATTTGAAATATTCTAGAAATTTTTTTATGAAAAATAATTTTTACTATCTGGTTAGCAAAACGATGTTAAAATTTGCCAAAATTGAGTGGCAAAGAAAATTGCATTGTTTATATAGAATATGAGAAAAGAAATAATTATTGTGATTTATATCTGATATTTATAATTAAAATAAAAGTAAATTTCTCTGTTTTCTTACAAAACGAAAAATAATGACCAATTCCTTAAATCCACAACCAATAAGAGAAGAGAGATAGAACTCGCCCTAGGAAAAAACAAAATAGAGAATAAGGACTTATTATTTAATATTTAGTGTCATTATACGACAACTTTTTATTAAAATGAGCCTTAAGCAACAAATAAATCATTACATATTAAATAATAAATTATTTATTTTAATTGAAAATTTCAAAGATAATTTATCTGTCTTTTAAAGAAGGATCTGCCTCTGTTTATTTTTTGTGGTGTGTACTTGGGATTCAATAAAAAATAATATTCTAATTAATTATTATCCAATAATTATTGCTTGAGCAGTGCTAGGTGCACTCGCCTCCTGCACTCTCCAGCCAACACATGCCTTTTTATTGGGCCACATAAGCTTGCTCTAGGCTATAATATGATAACCTCTCAAAACCCAAAATAACGTGGCCAATAAAAATGAAAGTGTTGGTTGGAGAGTGCAATTGGAGAGTGTCCCTAACATTGCTCTGCCTGCCTAGGGGGAAATGATAAATAAACTGTGAATTAAATAAAACCTACCGGTAGATCTTCCGGATAATGGATGACACTTTCTTCAGTTTCTTGAAGCTCGGCAACCGAAGCATCCCCTGAATCACTTTCCATGCTAGGCTCTATCTGAATTGTAACCGAGCTGGAAGAAGCCATTTTTATCTTTAGGCTGTTTCACCATACATAAAACAAATTAAAACACTTCTTACTAAAAAAATATAAAAAAAAAAACTTCGACATGTGTCTCCAGTCTCCACGGTCGTCCTCTGGGCTCTATGATCTGTCAGAGGGTTTCGTCCGCCATTATGCTGTTTTACCTGGGGTACAGGATCCGTCCCCCGAGTGGGGTTTCTCGGCCTTTCTGGGGTTGGTAGCACTTTTTGCTCAGCTTTGAGTGGTTTTGATGGGGAGTGGTTTGGTAGTAACAGCGGGTTAATGGATCGGCGGGGCTAGTGAAAAAAGAATGAAGTCTGGGAGAACAATTACCAGTTAAGTTCTAAACCTGGTGGGCGTGGTTCAT